TGCTGCTTCTTCTTATCTAATGTAATAAATGATTGATGATGTGTGTATCCTGGCCATATAGTTCAAGCAGTAATTCACATCAATTTTAAAATATTTCAGTCACAACAATATAAGATAATTACAACAACTGTGCAGCCAATAAGGCTTGAATTCTCAGACATTCTTCCATGTTGTGTCCACGCATTGCCTTCTTGCATTTTCTGCAATTTCTTGTTTTTTTTGTTGTAGTTAATGTGGCTACTTGCTGACTTTGAATATGCTTTTCCAATAATTTACTTTGTTCTTGAACTGTAATATTAGAATGTATGAATATTTTACTATAAATTGTCAATACAATGTGCAACAATCATTATATACATAATGATGTTTCTTTTCACAGTATTTGGCACATTACTCACAATCTGAATGAGAAATATTAGAAAAATAAATAGGGGTAATTGTTTCATGTCTGTACTCTAAATTTATGTACAGTTTATATTATCATGTGGAGATACCAACATTCATAGATAGTTATAATACACTTTATAAAGTACCTGTGGGAAAGAGTTGAATAGCACAATCTTTCCGTTTCCTGTAAGCTTCAACAGCTTGTTCTTTGCTTGATCTTTCTGTAAACTGTGCAGTTAGAGGTTCTGGAGCTTTTGAAGCATATTTTGAATATGTCTTGTCCAATGCATTTTTTGGCACACTTAACAGTAATTTCTTCATTTCTGTTACATAACCTGAAGAACAAGGATTGAAAGAAATCTAGAAAAAATATTATAAATGGACTAATGCACTTAGTGCATTGATGGCCATTTATAAAGCTTTAGTCACTGTATGCATTGTGTATAATGCACACAATGATTTCCTGGTGTGTGTGCTTATAAGGACTCCAGTGAGTATTAACATAAGTTTATTTTTTAAGTTAACTGAGTTTCTTGTCGCTTAAGCAATATTACCGAGTTCAATATTACAACATACCATATGTTGGGGGAACTTTAACATCATGTACAACTTCTTCTCCAAGTTTATATTTAGGATAGTTGATTTTCACTTGCTTTGCACCATTTTTTCTAATTTGAGTTTCTCTTTGTACATTTTCATTGAAGTGTAGGCTTGCTAGAGCATGTCTATTTAAAAATGACAAGTAATGGTAAGTAATAGTTGCAATACAATAAACCAATTTAGTCAACACGACAGCAATGCACTTATTGCAGAATACCATCAACAATACAACAGGTAAACATGTCCTTATTTGAAATGACACGTTTAATTTTCTTGAAGTTACTGCATATTATACTGTGGACATCTCATCTGCACTATGAAATACCTGCAATATGTTCCTAACCATGAAAAGTGAATCATCTTCGGGTGCCAATGGTTCAGCGTGGCATGGAACCCTTCCAAGCAGCTTGTCTGTGCATCTGATGACAGCTTCTTGATGTCATTTAGCAGAACAGTTTTAGTTAACAATCCACTCAATTTTTGATAGGCCACTGTTCCTAAAGTACAAAATACATACAACGTATTACAAAAACATTGTCCAAAAACAAGAATTATCACAGAAACATCCAATCAAAGACAATGGAATGTCAAACAACAAATAGACACAAAAAATGAATAAGGCAATAGACATGCATCATGATACTATTATTTACCTATTTTGATCCATTTTCTTGGTGCAAGATCAGAATGATGGCATTCCTTATATAATGTATTTGGGTGATTTTTGTGTTTGTTAGCAACATGTCGTAAGAATGATGTCCACTTGGCTTCGATTAAAGCACCGAAGCCTGGTGTTGTTGATGTCCCGCACCAGTATAGATGATTCTTAATGGCCTTGATCCAACATGCAATCCCTTCGCATCCTTTTTCTTTACTAGCTTTTAGTAGCTTTTTGGTAACTGACCTGTAAATGAAATGCATAGGGATTTATAATACTTTAATGATTATACAGTAACCATCATAATTATATCGTCTTTTTTAAATCAACTTTTGTTCTTGCTTGCCCTCGTTTTATCAATAAAATTGTTTTACATACAAATGACCAATGTCAATCATACAATATTGTATTGTTTAAATGAAATGCTCATTATTTTTATAATTACATGTTAAGTCATTTGTATTTACCTTGCAATATGCCAAATATCGTAATAGTGCTGGGTTTGTGGACAGGAAATTCTTATCCATTTAGCAATACCTCTATGCCGGTCGGAAATAAAAACTGGTATCTTTAGCCCTAGGCCTTTTAGGAACTTGAAGCTTCTTTCGCAGCCCTCAATCTCAGTTTGCTGGCTTCCACCTGTCTCATTTGCCTGAAATGTGAAAAGAAAACTTCAGTTGAATGTATTTGCAATCAATATAGTTGTAATGAGTAGATTTATAATCAATGTTGTATTATTATTATTATTATAAACTTATGACTCTCTTTACAACTATTACAAATATAAACTGACAATTGGTATAAAAAATGGAGTACCTGTACTATTTCAAAATGGACAATCTTCATTACTGTAGTCGAGAACATGGAATATGCTCCATACTTGGCTGAATGCCCCATTGAATCAAAGCGCCCATCGCCAGTCCACACAACATCTTTCATTTCTTTCAGTTTTTTTACAAGAGATTCCTGGTACTTTTCCCAATAACTGAGCACTATTGGGAAAAGATAGTTCCTCTGGTGTCTGAAGTAGGTTCTCGCTGTATACACAGACAGGCCAAGGTGTTTGAATATAAGCAATATTTTGCTTATTGATGCGCCAGCCATCAGAATTGAAAAACTCAATAATAAATTTCCAGCTGAAATTCCTCCTTGAAGGAGTGGCTGGGACTGCCATCTGTAGTTATCATTGCATTTTGCACAATGTTGTGTAATATCTATCATTGTTCCAATGGACTGCGCTGTTACAGTAGGGCAAGACTCTTTACATTTAAAACAAAACAAACTAAACAAATTGACAAGATTCCAGTAATAGACGATAAATTTCGGTTGGTCATAAGCTGGTGCATTTGGATCAATCCTAAGAATATAGAAATAAATAAGTTAAATTATAACCACAAACAATGCAGTATACCTAAGAATGGATGCATTGCTTGGTACATAATATAGAGTGTATGCAATCATCAATGTCAATACAAACAAGGATGCCTGTAATTTGAATGCTAGAAAGCTCTCAGTACCTGACATTATTGTGGATTGTCTCATCTGTTTCGTTGCCACTGTTTTCTGTCCCTGTACTCTCTTCAATTACTGCATAAGTCCAGTCTTCGTCCTTTGCATTTTCACTTTCTGAGTCAACTTGTTCTTGGTCCTTTGCATTTTCACTTTCTTGCTCTTCAGTATCACTCTTGTCCAATGATTCATCTTCTGGTTCTTCTTCAGTATCAACTGCAACTTTCTAAAGAAAAAATATACAATTGAATGTAGAAGCATGATAAGGAATATCTCTGTCCCATCAATAAAAAAAAAATATAATAAAGAAATGGAATATAGTAACTATACATACAAGATAACCATAGAATCAACTATAAATTGATCTGTATCATGCATTGCCCATACACAGTTTTAGAAAGTTTGAACTTTGAGAAGTCACTTACACTTCGTAGTTCTTTAACAAGTTTCCTCAGCTCAGCAACTTGCCTAGACAATCTAACGTTCTTTTTCTTGAGGCTTTTATTTGACTTTGTCTTGAGTGGGCAAGAATTACATTGCGAAAGGGATTTCGGTGTTACAGATAGGAAGGACTGTTTTGGAGTGTTTCTTGTACTGTCAGGATGCGGCGCGTAGTTTGTTTGAGAAATTTCCATTACTTCTTCAGGAGAGGAGATATCGGGAGCTGGGTTTGTAGATGTTGAAGGGGCAGGGTTTGTAAATGTTGAGGGAGGATCGTTTTCTTTTGAGAGTTTTCTCTTCTTCATCGGTGGGTCTTGCGTCGAAAGGGCATCTCGCTTCAACTATAGATCAGAGATGAAGCATAAAATCGTAAAAACTTAATTTATTCTTTAGACTTAAACATTCAACAGTAAAATATATATACATAGATCTGACTTTTGTATCAAATCATAGACGTAAACAATCTCAAGGACATAGATAACATACACAACACTGTTGTGTTTACACGCGAACGTGCCTCTTACACCAAAGCTCGAAGTCAAATATCTTACCTGACGTTTATTTCTTTCTGTAAGAACAGCTGGCTCAGTGTTTGGAACGACAGTATCCCTAGTGGGTATTGACCCTCTATGTAGTCGGCGCTGAAGATTGAAATCGCCTTCGATTTGTAGATGTCTTCTCGAAGTGAGCCGAGCAAAGGCAGGATTTTTTTCCAGGATCGATGAAGTCGACTCGATGACGCTTCACATGCAAAGCGGATCCATTTAGCTCTAATAGTCGGGTCAGTAGGAAAGCGATGCATAGTGATGCCCTCAGTGTAAAAATCATTTCCACAGCTGGTCTTATTTGGTGCACCAGCCACACAACGCCGACCTACCTTCCTTCTATACGCCATGTTTGTTGTAACTACTCTCAGGACGTGTATACACTTTTACGTCACAAACATGATCACGTGACCATTTGGCCGCGCGATGGTGGGGACACTTTTTTTATCAAATTTGCCATCTTTAGGCCGAAAAAAATATGGTTTATAGTCCAAACATGACAGTTTGACTTATCAAACTTTGATACATATATATTGAACTACTAGAAACAGGAAAGAATGTTTACCATGTCATATGCTCTTTAAATTTATCTTCGACGTAATTATTATAGTTCAACACAACTTCCTGCCACTCTGTACTCCATGGAAATATAGTCGGCTCAGAATAAAAATCACTTTTCCACCCATCCTTGAAATGCAGTCTACATATTGTAGTCCACTTCGAGTCGTCATCTCTAGTTGTTTTTGAGAGTCGTTTCCACTTTTTTCTCCTTTGTCGATCTTTTGGCAATTTATAAAACGTGAGATACTTGTACACACGACTACTAGAGACACATCCATGAACACAACAGGCAGAGTTGACCATTATTACAACATTAGTACAAACATAAAAACACATACAAGAAAAGTATCAATATCCGCCATTTTGTCTTCCCGTCCCAAACATATCCCACAACTCAATGCGCGCGACATACGTAAAGGGCTCAAAGTACTATTATAAAATGTGATTGGATTAGATTTTAGGATGCGCCACTTGTACAGTGTATGAAATGCAACGAGCAATTAAGTATACACCAACTTAGAGAACACCAGCTAAAGTCACATGGCAAGAAAAGAAAGGTACTTTTAATGTAATGTTCAAAATAAGAAAAACAATACTTTGTTCAATACCACAGACCTGCACATAATGACTAAACACTTAGCCATCTAAACTACCCAATGATTGTTAGCAATGATAGATGTAACAAATGATACCATCTTAAGCAATCATTCATTTTGACATAGAAAACAAAGTCTTCATCGAGTGGTGGGAACTAGCGGTAAACTAGTGTGAGCTGCGTCGGTGTTTCTAAAGAAACAGTTGTGTAAAAAGATAAATTTAACACCATAAAAAAGTATGTGAAATAACTTACTGACGTTTCGGACGTTAATCCTTTTTACACAACTGTTTCTTCATAGAGTGATAAGTGCTTCTTCAATGAAAGGTAAAAAAAAACTTTGACAAGGTAATTAGGCTTTCAACTCTACCTGCAATTGATAGTCTATATTTTGACATTCTTCTCTCTACAGT